GTCAATATTACGGTATTTGACGGTTCCGTGGCGAAGTGGCTTAGCAATGAGTTACAGCGCTGAGGGCCGCGAGTTCGAATTCCGCACTGAACAAGTATTTGTATAGTCTACAAGTAATTGATATGGGTCTGGATGTTTTTTTGTAAACTGCCCCCACGATACACGAGAAAATCCTAGTTGGAAGTAACGTTGTTTATATAAAATATTAAAAAAATATTATCGAATTCGTAAATTGTATCATGGCGTACCATTCTGTAATACCGTGTTGTGGCGGCGTAAGAATATCCACCATCCGATATCGTTCCATATCGTTCCGTGGGTGTCGTGAGAGGCGACAAAATGAACTTAATAAAGGAAATGAACAGCAGCATCTTCCTGATAACAAGGCAAAATTATATGAAATAACCGCAGTTGCCAATCCACCTGCAAAGCTTGGCAACTACGTGGTAAAATCCCTCTTATGAGGCATTCTATAATAGGGGAAGTCTATGTCCAGCAGTAGACTTTCATAGGCTGTTCTAGTAGGTACCACTCAACAGTGAACCGAAACGGAGCTAACCAAGCTGTGTGAAAAATAGTAGGGAAAAGAATCAATCATTACAAATTTCGTCTATTGAGTGTTGTGAAAAGTGGCTGCAAGTAATGCCAAAAATCTTTTGCCTTCCGATACATGGCATATGGTATAAAATACAAATAAAATATTTTAATGTGTTTCCTGAACGCAATAAACAAAAAATTCGTTTATCAAATATTAGAGCGGGGTAAGACTACACCTTTACAGAGTACCGGCCCATTTTAGGCCGGTACACTCTCTCTCACTCAGCTTAATGCTGCTGTATTTTTTATGGTGAGTGTAGAGAACGGGTGGCTTTTTTATTGGAAACAAGGCATTCTATTTTAGTCCTCAGGGGATATAACGCATTTTCATTATCAATCGAGGATAAATGTTTATGGGCCGCAGCATCCATTCACTATCAGATGGACTCTGCTACGTGTATAAGTGCTCGTTTGTTACACTTATTCTATTTTTTTTTCAAATTTACTAACGTTTCAAATCAAGTTCCTCTCTTCTCAGATGAGAAATTCTATTATTAGATGATTTAAGCCAGGGTTAAAAATAATTGTACCAGCAAAGTCCAGCAATGCCAAAGATATGAAACGTCTAGTGTCGTCATTTCGCTTACCAATCGTTCTGTTGTAAGAAGGACTACGTCAATTAATTTAAACCAACTAATTTATCACTAATTACTATGTTTTCTGGGATAAACGAAGTAACGGATTTTATCGCGTATGTTAACTTATTTTATATTCCTGATGTTTATAATATTTTATAGCACGGGGGGGGGGGGACTGAGGTGTTCGACGCCCATTGTCATAGTTAACCACGACTACCTCCAAATTATTTTTTTCCGACCTACGCAATAAAAACTTATAGTATCTTGAAGTGTTGCAGTTGTATGCTTGGGTTGAAATTTAATTTAATTTATCATACTAGATTCCTAAGCAGAAGGTAGCACCCAGCCATCTTCTCTATTGAAATTAGAGTGTTTTTTTTTTTTTCAATAGCTTCGCGAAACATCCCTAGAAGGAATTGATGATATTTAGCGAGCACTTGTGGTATATAAATCTGAAATAGTGACGAGGTCGATTCTGTACGTGTTCACAGACTGCAGACTTCCCGGAGCGTCAATTCGTCACATCAGCTATGTGTTCTTTATTGCGGGTTTTTATTGATTTTTTTGTTTGTCCTATGTATGAAAGAGCACTATCACAATCAAGCTTGTACACTCCTGCATCTTGCATAGGGACATTTCACTTGACTGATGTTAAAAACTGACTAATCTTCTTCGACGGCTTGAAGTATATGTTTAATGGAAGCACGCTTCTAGATGTAGCCATACTTGTCAGTAACACTTCTAACAAATGGCGGTATAGCAGGCATACGCTCCAGTGTTGCAATCCGGCCACAGTGGAGCGGTCACTTGTTCACTGTGACGTAGGCTGGAGTCAAGAATACTTGGCTATGAATTTATAAAAAACAGGTGAGGCGAGTAATTACATGAGATGGAACGTGGGTTCAGCACAATGAACCTGAAAGTAAACAGGAGTCTACGCAATGGCATAAAAATGGATCAGAGTTTTCAGATTCATAATTTTATATTTTTCGTAACATACCCATAAAAACCAAGAATGCATTGACCGCCCTTCGTTTATATATCCCACGCCCAAATCCTTGACACAGGCCTACGTCCATTTTTAAGAAGGTTTGACCGCAAAGTGTCCATCATACTATCCAAAGTGTGTTGGAGGACTCCTATGAATATATGAAATATTTTTTATACTTTTTCAGACATGCCGGTTTCTTCACGATGATTTTCGTCATCGCTGTGAACGTGGTCTCGTAAATCAGCACTTTTTTCAACAATTTATACCTTACTAAATAGCAATCACAATCAGTAGCTTGCAGATTGCGATAAAACTCACGATAACATCCACAATATTTGAACACTTGGCGGTCTGATTCACTAGGATATTTCTGTGGAATCGTTTACATCAACGATATTTCCGTTTATAGGCGGCAATCGACATTTACCATCAGGTGAGCCGTAAGATCGTTTGCCCCCTCCTTTATAAAAATATGGTGATAATTACTTGGATTTCTTTTCCAGCCTTTCCCTTGATTAATACGTAAACTTTTTGTATTTAATACTTTAAAATCTTTCAATTTTATTCCGTTATCTATTTTGCAATAGGTAATAGTAGTTAAATTGTAAAGGTTTAAGTTTCATTACTTCCGCTAGTTGTTGATATTTGTCATAAATTTTAGTAGTAAGTACTATCTTAAATTTGTTAAATAAAAACAAATTAAAATAATACACATAAAACCATATAATAATATTTTTAAAATTGTTAAAAAATAATTAGCTAAGATCTTAACATATTAGGATTTTAGATACCATCATCATCATCATTACAGCCCTTCAGAAGTCCACTGCTGAACAAAGGCCTCCCTCAAGTAATGCCACAAAGCACCGTCCTGAGCCACCTGCACCCATCAACTTCCTGCTTATCTGGCCAGGTCGTCACTCCGTCTAGTGGGGGTCGCCCTACACTACGCCTACCGGTACGAGGCTGCCACTCGAGAACCTTTCTTCCCCATCGGTTGTCGGTTCTTCTAGCTATATGGCCGGCCCATTGCCACTTCAGCTTACGTTACACCGACCGTTGAAATAAAAAAAGGTTCTGGCGAGGTTTCGTCATACGCGCGGCTACAAAACGGTTACTACAACTTTCAAGACAGAACAAGCAAGAAAAACAAGCAAGAAAGTAGCCCTCAAGAGCCCTATTAGGTTCATATAGTGTTTCAGTATTAACTGCCGCAAATTCATTGTAAATGGTGTTCAATATAGTGTTTATTTCAAATCTCTTTAATTTCGACTCAACCCCTTGTAGTTAAAAATAGCAATCTTCGTTTATCAAATTTTAGTCAGACAGATGTCACAGTAATCAGCTTTCTTCACAGTAATAGTTCAGTTTTCTCCCTAAATACAGTCCACTTAGCTCTTATCCCCTACAAACGGAATCTGTTTAATGTAATTTTCACCAACTTGTAGACGGCCGATTGACTTGAAAGTTTCCATTTGTATTAAGGACCTATGACAATAAAGTCTCGCGCCGAACGCCGCCGCGTTAGTAGCGAAACGCTTTAGCTCCGTCGATTAAAATTCGTAAATGTGGTAAAAAGTTGTACAATAATGACATGTTATATATCAAAAAACGCGGAATTTGTCGTTTTATAACATGGTGAAAACCGCATAAAGCAGCGATTTTGGTAAAAAAAAGTAATGTGAAAAAAAGCGACCTTAAATTAATATTTTCTGGCCTACGCCCGATTTTTGATGTAGGATGTATAGTGTTTATTGGTGAAATAGATGGATATATGTGAGCTCCGAGTGCATACCAAATCTAAACATTTTCCGAGCGGGAAAAACCGAATTTCCAACAGTTTTCCATAAACCACGTTGTGGGCCATCTTGGAAACCAGAAGCGTGTGGCTGGTTCTGAAGTCAGATTATGAAGGACAATTATTAGCTAAACTCGCCAATATAAACAGATTTTCCCGCACTTGAACCGTTTTGACAGAAATAGACTTTTCATCATATCTCATCAAGGTACTTTAATCTTTTAAGCTTAATATCTCTTGAAGGGATACACCTTTAATTCCGTTTTAATTCGCCATTTTTTCCGCCAATAAATAGTGCATATTATAAACTATAAACCCTGAAAATTTCAGAATATTCCGCCTAGTAGTTAAAAAGTTGCAAACTTTTTTCAAAATTCAAAATGTAAAATTTTTCTGTTCAAAATAACGGTCTAACATAGTTCAACATTCACGTCGTATTTGGCGGGTATATATAATATTCCCTGTTGGACCTTTGGAAACCCCCCCCTCCCCACTCCCTAGGACTAAGTTATTGATTGATATATATATACATAATATGGCTGAAAACTGACTTTTATTTTTTGTGTGAACTTTGAGATTAAAATGGCACCACCTTACAGTAGTACTCTTTAAACCAAAACATAAACCACTTATAGACATTTTTTTAAATAATTTATAATTTTTTTGTTACCAACTTTCTATAAAGACTTATGTGTTTTGTGTGAATATGGCGCCGTCGCAGGGAGAAACTCCTCCCTCCCAGCCTCAGCTGATGAGGCAAAGGACTTAGACACCTTTCTTCATGTGTTGAATAAGCTCGCCAGCTGCATTAACACAGCGGTCAATGAAGGCAAGAACGTGACCGCTGCTAATAAGCGATTAATTAGTCTAGCTGCGGAGGAAATTCACAAAGCTGGGCATATTTTTGGTCTCCTCAACCCCGCGTCCATCCATAGCTCACCAGCCTCCAACAGCGAGCTGAAGGAGGAAATTCTATCATGTGTGAGGGAGGAGATCGCAGGCGTGAAAAAACTGGTCATGGCCAATAAACCGACATATGCACAGGCAGCTGCAGTGGCTCGCGGGGCTTCGGCGCCCACTGGGCCAACTGCCCCCCCGCATCCCCCCCTCAGTGTCCAAACCAGCGATTATAGTTAGTGCTACGGTAGAAGTGAAATCTCGCCAGGATGCCGTTGAACTCTTCAAAAAGAACATTAATTACCGCGCTTCCAACTACGCACCTGCTAGAATTCAGCCAGTTTCCAACAATAAGTTGCGGGTTGAATTCGACAACGAGACCCAGCTTAAAGACACCCTCACGCGGCTTCAGGGGAAAAGTGAGCTTAAAGCTGAACCAGTGCGAAAATTAAGACCTATGGTCATTCTTAAGGGAATCTCTTAGGATGTTCCAGCCGATGACTTAATTCAGTCCATCATTCGCCAAAATACAGTATTAACCGAACTGATTAACAATGGTGGTGGTGAGAACCTCAAGTTGAGGTTCAAACGTGAAAACAGAAACGCCAATTTGTACAACGCGGTATTGTTAGTAGAACCCAAACTATACAATAAAATGCTCGACATGGGTCGAATCAGTGTCGAATATCAGCGAGTCCACGTAGCTAGCTTCTCGCCGTTCCTACAGTGCCACAAGTGCCTGCAGTTCGGTCATACTAAATTAAGGTGCACTGCGGACCAAAATCTCTGCTCACATTGTGCGAGCACGGAGCATGATGTGGGCAAATGTCCCAATAAAGATAAGCCCAACAGCGTCAAATGCTACAACTGCCACACTCATAACACGCGCTTCAATACAAAAATGGATACCAAACACACGGCCAACTCAAACACCTGCCCACGATTGCGAGCCATGAGGGAGAAGATTAATAACCGTGTTGATTATGGATATACACCGTAAATTAAAAATTTTACAGTGTAACATCGACCGATCCAAGAATGCGCAACACGAGATTCTTCTCTCGTTCATGGCAGGTGATTATGACATCGCCCTCATCTCCGAGCCATACGTTGGCTCTGGAGATCAGGTTAAATCAGTGATTGGAATCGACACATACCAGTTCTTCACGGGCAGCAGGATTAAGGCTTGCATCCTGGCAAAACCAGGATGCGGGTCCATCTTGGGATTATCTCAGTTTTCAACATCCAACTTCTGCGTTATCAAACTTACTACTGGAAATCGCAATATTTATATTGCATCTATATATGTGGAACCAGGCAGGGACGAGCTAGCAACGCTCGATAAATTAGATGTCTTTCTTAAAGACACAGGTGATGTTCACAAGATAGTGGGGGGTGATCTCAATGGGTGGCACCCAACTTGGGGAAGCGGGAAAACTAACTTACGGGGTAACGAAATCATAGATATTATACAAAGCAATGATATGTATGTATGTAACGTTGGCAACGTACCCACGTTTGAAACGGTCACCCACGGGCGAGATCGCTCTTCAATAATCGATCTCACATTTGTTTCTGGCTCCATCATTGATTACATCTCGGAATGGCGTGTTAATTTGAATATCTGCCCAACTTCCCAGCATAATGCTATAGACTACTGCATTGATTTCAACACAACCGACACAACACACACTCACCAGAATTCCACTTTTTTATACAAATCAAACAAAGCCTGTTGGCCTATTTTTAAGGACAAACTGCACACTCACATGACACTCACAAACATACTTGAACAGAACATTTCTATCTTGAACGTTGATGATCTGGATCAGGTCATCTCCGAGCTCACTAATGTGATCCACTCTGCATGCCGGGCAAGCATGCATGTTAAAGGCCGGGGAACAAAGCCGAAGGCTCCTTGGTGGACGGAGGAATTGGAGACCATCAAGCGGGGAAGTGGTGGATTTGCACCACCAGCTTCATGCTGCTAAACGCCAAGGTTTGCCTTTGGACCAGATTTTGGAGGCACGCAAATCTATAAAGGAACTTTACGCTAGCAAAATGCGTGATGAGTCGACCAGGCATTTTCGTGAGTTCTGCGAGTTGCAAACCAAGGAAAATGTCTGGTCACTCACAAATAGGCTACTCAAAACTGCCACCCCTAGGCGCCCACCAGTTACCCTCAACAGAGACGGTACTTACACCACCGATAGCCAGGAGACTGCTAAGGCACTTTTGGACCATTTTTACCCGGGTGACTCACCCGACACCTTACCACGACATCACGAATTAAGATCTGACATGACCAACTCTCCTCAGTCCCATTACGACCCTCCCTTCACTCAGGAGGAGGTGTTGGAGTGTTTAAGACAAATGAATCCCAAAAAGGCTCCCGGACTCGACAACTTAACATCAGACATATGTTTACAGTTTGCGACAGACTATCCTAGACTCTTGACTGACATACTTAACCGCTGTCTTGCACTCCAACACTTCCCTAACCAGTGGAAAACCGCTTTTGTCAAAATTATCCCGAAGCCGGGTAAGTCTGACTACAGCGCATTAGAGTCATTTCGTCCTATTGGCCTGGTACCTGTGTTCGGCAAGCTGCTGGAAAAACTGTTCATTAGAAGAGTCACATACCATGCACAACGAAATAATCTGTTAAACAAATTTCAGTTCGGTTTCCGGGAACAGACCAACACGTGCGAAGCTATAAACACTGCGCTCGATATAATAAGACAAGCGAAAAGTAATAAGCAACTAAGTATCGCTATATCTCTAGATATAAAAGCAGCCCTGATAACGCTTGGTGGCCGGCACTTTTCCACCGATTGCGGCATATCCAATGTCCTAATAACATCTTTGGACTCATTCAGGATTATGTCCGCGATCGGGAGGTCATTCTCGACTTTGCAGGGGGCGGGTCACCAAGACGATGTCTAAGGGCTGCATCCAAGGCTCCACGTGCGGCCCTGTTCTCTGGAACATAATATTAGACGAATTACTCGACACCAAGCTTCCAGCGGGTTGCCACATACAGGCCTTTGCGGACGACGTCCTGCTGGTTGTTACGGCCGCGAGTGCGGGCAAACTGAAAGCGCTGCCAACTTGGCTCTCCATCACATAATCGAGTGGGGAAGAAGCGTCAAGTTGGCATTCGGCCCTACCAAGACTAAGCTCATTGCCTTCACTCCTAAGGCTAAGACAGCCAGCATTAACATCGACGGACACCGACTTTGTTTTGTTCCAGAGGTGAAACTTTTAGGAGTAATCCTCGATGAGAAATTGAATTTCGGTAAACATGTGAAACACGTAGTTAACAGGGCCGTGCGGATCTTCAACACGCTCTGCATGTACTCGAGACCCACCTGGGGAGCCCATCCTGAAAACATCAGCACCATCTACCAGCAGGTCATCGTGCCAACGATCACCTACGCTGCGGGAATTTGGGGTCACGTCGCCCAGAAAAGGTGCATCAGGAGGGCACTCGAGAGCATGCAGCGCGGGTTTGCCATCAAGGCTAATAGGGGATTCCGTACGGTCTCCACAGCCGCTGCACTAGCGTTAGCCCAATTCGTACCTCTGACCTGAAAGTCCGAGAAGTCTGCGCTGTGGAAAGGGCTCGGCTCCGGGGTATCTCTGACCACATCCCCAGCGATATTCCCCTTAGAAAACCCACCCCCGTCTCCGAGCTACTTCATCCCGCCCAACGTATCTCCCTAACGAACAGAACCTATACAAATTACCTATCAATTCAACCTCTACATGGACAGACCACACACTGTATATTTACGGATGGAAGTAAACAGGAGGATGGTGCAGTGGGGGCCGCATTTGTTGGATATCTTCCAACAAATCTTGATGAAATAGCCTTCACCAAAAAATTTAAACTGCATTACACATGCACAGTGTTCCAAGCCGAGCTGTTTGCCATTTTACAGGCATGCAGGTGGATCAGAGAACACAAATATGCGCACACAATCATTTACACTGACTCACTCTCATCCATACATGCCATACAGAACAGAAGCAACACACACCCCATTATCACACAAATACACCAAATTATTCATGAACACAGTAAAATAGGCATCATAGAGTTGGGATGGGTCAAGGGTCACTCAGGCATAGCTGGTAATGAGGCAGCAGACATTGCTGCGAATGCCGGCTCAAAGTTACACAGACGGCCTGATTACTCGGCCTATCCCATTTCGTACCTTAAACAAATCATCAGAACTCAAAACCGTGCAACCTGGCAAGCTAGGTATTATAGCGCAGAACAGGGCCAACATACCAAACGACTGCTTCCGACACTGGAGGATATCGAGAGGCTACGCACCCTCACCAAACCAAGTTTTTACCTCACCCAGGTGCTCACCAACCACGGTTTCCACAAATATTATTTATGCCGTTTTAAAATAACCGATAATAATTATTGCCCATGCAACAATTACACCCCACAGACGCTGGAGCATCTTATAGAGCATTGCCCTGCATTTTTAGTACAAAGACTTAGTCATGTGATGAGGTGTGAAAACTTAAGAACCTCTCCGTTTAACCTGATTAACTTAATGAAGAAGGAATCCCTTCTGGATTCCTTCATGCAATTTGTTAATAGCATCATTAAAAACCTCAAAAACTTTAATAAAAGTTGTACATATGTAAATAGAAACAACTAGTTATTAAGTACCTTTTCTTAAACTAATCTTTAAATAAAAATTATTCATAGTTATTGTATTACATATGTCATTTAATTTTTTTTTGGACTAAGATTACCCCTCATACTCTTAATATTTTACCCCATCGTTAACAAAGCATTTGGCCATGTTTGGGAATAAGATTACCTCTAGTTTTATTTTATATCATTTTGTCCATAGTAATTTAAGAATACCATTTTGTTTTATTTTGTTGCTCATGGAACAAAGACTTCTCACAGTCTTCTTTAAATTTTCTACTTGACTGTGTCATTATACCATGTTATTTTGTGCCTAGAATTAAGATTACACTTGATTTATTTTACACTCATTTTATTGTTATTATGTTATTTTGTTATATAAATGTTATTATTGTGTTTAGTATTAAGATTATCCTGTGTGTTTATTCCATTTAAATTTTATTTTATTCGAATTTAACGGTCTTAATAACAATTTGTATATGTTTAGACATAAGAATACTTTATATGTTACTTTGTCAATTTCATTGTCACTAAATTATTCCGTCATTTTTGTGTTTAGATTTAACATTATTCTGTGTATTTATTTCCTTTAAGTTCACTCTCTCTCTTTATGCTATCTGTACTCTGTCCGTATTTAGTGATAAGACTACACTATTCCACTTTTGTTTTATATTATAGGATTATTTAACCAGTTTGTCATCATTGTACCAATTCATTACACTAGAGACATTATATAACAGCTCTAGTTTAAAGTTAAGACAATTTTTTTTGCTTTTTAGTTTTTATTTTAAATTTCATTTCATTATTTTCATTTTATTGTCATCCCGTTTTTAGTCTAACGGGGTGCGTGGCATGCGCGAGTCTATAAATAACAAAACGTCAATGTCAATCAAACGATTATTTTCACCGAACAACACCTATGTATAATATGTTAAAAAAATGTTGAGAATTGTAGTAATATGAGGAGAAGGAAAGCGCGTTATGTATCAAATCGCAGAAACGCGCAACCAGCTCCGTACGTGTAATAGTTATATTAAAAAAAAAATTTAAAACAAAGCGAAACTTATCTGTGGAATCTGACAATATACTCCCGTCGGTGGGGGTGTACCCTCCGGCGGAAATCATAAAAAAAAAAAAAAAAAAAAAAAAAAAAAAAAAAAAAAGACCTATGACAATACAATAATTAAACAACTTTATCCTAATATCCTGATCAGGATCATTAGCATAATTCTTTGTAGAATCTTCAATACGTGTTTTGAAGTTTTCTTATATTTAATATTGTTTATTCTATTTAAAATACTTATTGTATTTAACACTGACTATAAGAAGGAAATAAAAATTTTATTAGATATATTAATTTCAAGATTTGAAGAAGATTCAACTTATCGTTATACATAGATAGCCAATCCGGACAATTTATTGAGCAAGTAACCGCCTCCTCACGGCAGTATCGTTTATTTTCACGAGAAGTTCGCTCTCGGGATTGCACTTGACCGACACTTGAATTCCCCACACGTTCATGCTCGCGTACTCTTTGTTACCTTAGAGTGGCTATTTATATTATTTATCATATAATATGTCATATTGTGTGTTTCAACAAAACAAAAACCTATTTTATAATCACTACTTGATGTCCATCAATCTATCACAAGTCTACCGCTGAACACAGGCCTCCCCTAGGAAAAGCCGCACCACAAAGCATGTCTGCGCCAGCCACTTCCATCTACTTCCTGCAACTAACCAGGTCTTCACTTAACCTAGTTGGGGCCGTTCTATACTTCGCTTACCGGTACGAGGTTACCATTCAAACACCTTTCTTCCCCATTCGTTGTTGGTTCTTCCAACTATAAAGCCAGCCCATTGCCACTTCAGCTTACTAATATGTTGGACTAAATCAGTTATTCTCATTCTACTGCGGATCCCCTCATTTCTAAGTTTATCAAGCAGTAAAATCTTGAGCACTTTTTTATTATGAGCAAATAATCATTTCAATAATCGGTGAGAAGCTTTGAAACCGAATGTAAATATGAAATACAAATTTAAAATTTTAACATGTCTTTATAATAAAACTAAATGCCTATAAACCAAAACTAAGGGCAGAAATAAGATTTTGTGACAGTATTTATTTTTTCATCATTGACACAGGTATAAAAAGTACTAATTAAGTAATTACTGAATAATCCGCGGATTATATCAACTGCGCAAGAATTATTGGTTCCACGAGAGCACGCCCAACAACAACTGTCCAACGTCGGGATAATAATAAAAATAAATTAAAGTAATTAAACGCGATAAAATCCGTAAATAATAGTTTTATTCAACAACTGTCCACTCTCCCTACCAAACGCATACCCGATGTAATACTCATGCGCTATTCATAACTATTATGACATTAATAAAAATATAAAAAAATGAAGTAGCACATTACACAATAGATTAAGGGTTCACATGTCTTCCAAATATTGTTGATAGTATTAGGCGTTAATCTGCCAAATGTATTATATTAAAGATGTTAATTTTCACAAGTAAAGATCCGCTTAATAAATGACGATGTGCCTTGCCTAGTATGAAGAGCACCTCCCGCCCTCCTCAACTGCGTGCGCTACGTCCGTCACCAGTGTGGCTAACTATGACACTATCTGCGTCACCAACACCACAACCCCAGAAAAGACTCGCTACCGCTGATATTACGACATCTATTTCAAATTTCTAAACAAGGTATCAGGATAAGAATATGATATCCCTCAGAAATTCTGATTTTTTCACGGATTTTAAACTCCAATTAATAGTTGATGCTAGTGGGTACCGAAACCCTAATTAAAGTTTGAATAATTTTCGAGTACTAAAATAGTAATTAACGTTTCATTTTATACGTTTATTTACTTACTGTACAAAAACTTACTTTAATAATCACTACTAAATGTCTATCTATCTATCTATCGATTACAGCCCTTCACAAGTCCACTTCTTAACACAGGCCTCCCCATGGATTGCCTCATAGGCGGGATATTTGCCACAGTTGCGACAGTTGCCACAGTTGCCACACTTGCCAAGCGGGAAGCAACCGCAGCTTTTATTTTGAGTCGTTATTAAGAAGACGCTGCTGCCCATCTCCAGATCTGTTTCTCTCTGTCGCCTCCTACGACGTCCACGGGATGATACAGGGCAAAGGATATTCTCATACCGCCAGTAACACACTACTTGCTTGACGTTGGACGCGTATTTTTTATAAAAATTGGAGTGGCGAATAAACTCATTGTTCACATTATGGTACAATAAAGACGACTAAAGACGCTTTGCCTTCTCTGATGACTGAGAGAGAATGCTTCACAACCTATAATTATAGACACTGGATCTATATAATCAGGGGAAAAGTCTTGCGTTTTGTGGAATAAATAAGCTGCATTTAGATTCTAAGAGGTTAGCGAATTTTAAATTCTAAATACTTTAGGTTCCTGTAAAAAACACAGAGATATACCACGTTCCCTATTTTTTGCCCTCTGAGGTACAGAGACGCGCCAAAGAAGAAAGCTCTAAGTAGTGTAATGTTCATAGTTTTTATATATTTTTAGGTTTTGGTTATTGTTGTAGGCCTCAATCTAAAGTCTTTTATGATTGAAATAAATAATGGATAATGGAAAATGGAAATAAAATGAAAATATGGATGTATGTGTAGGTGTATGGATGTGAAGGAGGGGAGAGAGGTGTGTCAGGATCGTGCCAAATGGAAGTCTGTAGTCTCTGCTTACCCCTCTGGGTGACAGGTGTGATGTTTATGTTATGTATGTTGTTATGTGAAATAAATAAATTTCATTGTATTGTACATACACCTTCAGATTGGAACACAAAAGTTTAAGCTCTGCTATTTAGCGGCAGATATATTATAGATGAGCAGGTTGTACTCTCCCGGCTATGT